TCGCTGCTGTAAGGCCATGCCCTGGAAAGAAGGGTGTGGTTGGCATTAGATGAGCCCAGGGGATGCCCCCGACACGCCAGCGCTGGTGCTGGTGCACTCACCATATTGTACCAGGCACTGATGAGCAGCTTTTCTTCCTGCTCTCGCTGACTTCGATTCTTCTCAAAGTCCATCTGCCAGGGATGCAAGAGTCAAGGGCCTGGAGATGCTGGGGGCAGTGAGGAGGGACGAGGGCACCCACCTCCAGGTGTCGGATTCGGACTTCCCGCTCCCGGAGCTGTGTCCTCAAGGTATGGAGTTCCGGAGGCACCCCCCCAGGTGGCCGCTGCTTTGGTTCCAGGGTCTGTATGACCTAGGGGTTGGGAAAGATACAGCCAAGGTGACCTTGGCTTCACAGGTTGTTGGACACAGTGGAGTGTGTTGAGCGTGACAACTTGTGGCTATGGTGTAAAAGTCTGTGACGTAACGGGGTATGGCAGGCCTGGGCGTGGGGGCAGAGCTGTGCAAACGGTGGGAGGCGTGACCCAGCGGGAGGCAGCCGGCTGGACAGGAGCTCACTCAACATCCTCACCGTGCGTGCCTTGTCCACATAGCGGCGGTACCGCTCCTCCATAGCCCGCAAGTCTGCGTCCTTCTTCTGCAGGCTATCCTGAAGCTCCTCGATTCGCCGATCTGCTGGGGGAACACAGTGGCCCCTCAGGTGCACGCCAAGCTCAGGCCCCCCCCATCCCCCCACCCCCGGCTGTGGAGCACGGCTCACTGCTGCCGTCGCTCGGTGGCTCCAGCTCCTCGATGTACTCGCGCTTCCGCTGCAGCTCCAGATCCGCTTCATGCAGCTTCTGCCTGTGGGCAGGGGACCAGCAGCGGTGGTGGCACCGAGGCATTCCCAGCAGGAAGTGTCCCTGCCCGGCTACCGAGGCCTCTTCGCCTGCCTCCCAAGCACAGCAGCTGTGTGCTCTGGCCCCACTGCCTCCTCTGCCACCAGAACCACAACCCTCCCAACCCCTGGTCAGGTGGCCCATAGACGAGCCACCCCCCTCTGTCCACTTCTATTTCACACCTCACATTCTGATCCAGCCACCACTACCCACCGCTACCCTCTAGAGCAGGGCTGGGCAAACTTTTTGACTCGAGGGCCACAATGGGTTCTTAAACTGGACCGGAGGGCGGGAACAAAAGCATGGCTGGAGTGTTTGTGTGAACTAATACATGTTAACACTGCTGCTGGTGAAGGAACAGAGGGGAGAGCAAGAGAACCCTCCGCTCTTTCGGCTCCGGCCAGATAGAACAGCCGAATGGGCCAGATCCGGCCCACGGGCCGTAGTTTGCCCACGGCTGCTCTAGAGGGATTGTTCTACTCTCAACCCCTCAGTTCCATGCCCCACCCAACAGCCAGTGATCTTTCTAGAATGCAAATCTCTTGTAACAAAAGGAAATACAAACTACAAGTTGTATCTAGGTTTAGTGCCCTTTGCCACCAGTGGCAAAACACAAAAGATTTAATAACACTCCCTGTAGGTGACACTGTTATTGTGCATTGAACGTGAAACATAGTATAACACCTAACAGTTACATCTACTAAAATTACAAAGGCATGTGCCCTCTGAGTCACCAGTTCCACTTTTGTGATATATTTGCACACAGGTGAAACAATGCCTGTGCAAGGTTTTACACTCGGTTGCCTTGTTTGAAATTGTAAATACCTAGAAAGAACAAGGTAAATACACTATGATCTTCACAGAAAATGCTACAGACCAGCCCTTCTGGCCCAGAATTTTATAGGAGCATTAAGCTCCAATGCCTTCAAGTATCCAGCCTCTGTAAGGAAATAACTTGTTCTGTGCTCGGCTGAGCCTCAGCTACATCCCATCCTTGGTCAGAACTGAGAAAGCCACCACCCAAATCGTTTTCAGTAAGGCCTAGGTTCCCATGGAAACCCAGCTGACGCAGGTCACTGTATATACATATTTATCCTCATCCAAGGATATGTTTGTTGAGTTTAGAGAGAGGAAGGGGAGAGAGAAGAGAGAAATATCGATTGGTTGCCTCCCATACATGCCCTGACCAGGAATTGAACCCGAAACCTGAAGATGACACTCCAACCAACGGAGCCACCTGGCCAGGACCAGGCTGCTATATTTATAAAAGATGATGATGATTTATTTGGAGAAATTTCTCTGTCATCTTAAATAGGAAAAACAAATACAGACTAGCACATATTATACCACCTTTGTGTAAATAAGGACTGAAAATTAAAATCAATATTCATATTTGTTTGTATTTGTTTTAAAAAGTCTTCAGGGGAAACACTTTATAAAATAACCCCTATGCTATACACCTGAAATGAATACAAAATAATACTAAATGCAAACTGTAACTGAAAAAAGAAAAGGGAAAAATCCTCTGGAGGAATTGCCATAATAAACTAACAGGAATGGGGGTAGAATAGGGCGGAAAATGAGTCAGGGTGGGGGGAGTGGGGGGAGAAGGGGACACTGGAGGTATACATTTTGGTTTTTAAACTATAAATGTGGTCACTATTTAAAAGTTTTTTTAATAATGTAAAAAATAAAAGATGACTATCGCTTTCAGCAATGAGAGACTACTTTGATGAAATTCTCTCTGTGGTTTCCCCGCTGCTCCCCCAAAACAGTCTTTACTGCTTCCCGTGGCCTTTAAGGCCCCACTAGACCCGACCTTTCAGTCTGTATTTCTGCTGACTGGTCCGCCTCACAGAGGACTCTCCATGACACCGCCCCATCCACCACACCTTTGCCCCAGCCTCCCCACCACCAGGACAGCCATCCCTCTGGGACTCACAGATGTTCCTCCAGCTTCCTCTTCAGTAGGGCGGGCTAGGGAAGAGAAGACGGTGGGGTCAGTGGGGTCCAGAGGTCCCAGCCCTTTTCTGGGGTGAGGACAGAGGTGTCACCCCGGGGCCCATGGTACTTACAATGGACTGCATGGGGCATCGGGCAGCAGGTGGGGAAAGAAAAGAGGGTTATTAGGGGACAGGAGGGAGGGCCAGGCAGGAAGGAGGTGGGCACTCACGTCCTCGCTCTTGCCCCCCTGTTCCTTCAGTGCCTTCTGTAGGTCCTCCACCTGGACCCGCAGATCCAGTAGCTGCTGCTGGTTCAGCCTGCGGGGTAGGTGGCCGCTCAG